AATCGTTCACCACAGAATCGGGCTGACTGTAAAAATGTTCATACCGGTTGTGTGCATGGGTATAGCTGTGGTTGCACAATTCAATCTGGGAAGCCATTTTAAGACTGTCCCAGGTTTGCTGCTGGCCGGTGCTGGCAAACACATGTTCGCCAATTACGAAAAAGGTGACAGGCACGGCTTCTTCCTGCATAATGTGCAGTACTTTCTGCGTACCGTGGTTGGGCCCGTCGTCGAACGTGAGATAGATTTTTTTCTTCTTCTTTTTGGCGGCCGGCTTTTCACTAACGGTAGCCAATGGTTGCTTTGCAATGCGCTGTGTTTGCTGAACAAAAGTTTTGTTTTTTCCGGTTCGCTGGTACACAGCAAGACATACCAGTAACAGTGTTGTTCTGAGGAGAAAGGAAGCGGACTGTGCAGCTCCCTGGTAATCGGGGTCCATAAAAGTTTGGGGGATTTAGAATATAAATGTATGCAGCCGCCCATTGGTTTACAATATGCGTTTGGTTAAAGAATGTATAAATCCGGGCTGAGGAAAAAGGATGGAACGCAGATTTTTATGATTATCAGGATTTGTTATGATGACAAAGTGGTGGCTAAAAATACCTGAACCAGTTGGCGATGAAATACATTTTGTCGGGCGGAGATTTTTATTATTGCCAAGATTTGCTGTAATAAAAAACCATCTTAACCCATCATAAAAATCATTGGAATCTGCGTTCCATCCACCCGGCGTTGCGGCGTTTTCGCCAGCAGCTAAAATGGTTCTATATTTAAGGTAAATAACCCTTCTATGCAAAGTATTTTTGAAGCGGCTGATTGCAAAGCCCTGCTGGAAAGAATTGACAAACTGCAGGATGGCGCCCCCGGCCAATGGGGAAAGATGACGGTGGCGCAGATGCTGCGGCATTGCCAGCAACCGGTGAAAGTAGCGCTGGGCGAACTGCAGCTGAAACATTCCCTTATTGGTAAACTCTTTGGCAAAATGGCCAAGCGTAGTTTTCTAAAGAACGAGACCTTTAAGAAAAACCTGCCCACCGCGCCTGAGTTCCTGGTAAAAACGCAGCCAGTGTTTGAGCAGGAAAGACAACAATTGAAATCATTAGTGGAGCGGCTGCAGGCTGCCGATCAAAACGCTATTGCCGCCCGGGTGCATCCCTTTTTTGGAAAAATGAATGCCGAAGAGTGGGGTATACTCAACTGGAAACATTTGGATCATCATTTACAGCAGTTCGGTGCGTAGCGCCACGGAGGCAAGGGAACTCACCCCGCCACGCCAAGGCATGGCAGCCCTCTCTGCTGTGTAGAGAAGGGAAGCACATCGTAGATGTGCAGGGGCGAGTTGAACACCGCGGCGACTGAACCACGGAGGCACAGTGACACGGGGTTACACGGAGGTTAATCCCGTGGTCTGGTGTACCTACCACTTCAGGATCAAATCCCGTGGTCCGGTGTCTTCACCGACCACAAATGCTGTATGTACAATATAAATCATCGCTATGCACAGCGCCCAAATAACCACCGCTCTCAGCAACGCCCGCCAGTATTTCAACAGCGGCGCTACCCGCCCCTATGCCTTTCGCAAAACACAGCTGCAAAAACTGAAACAGGTGATCCTGGACAATGAAGCCGCAATTAACCAGGCATTGTACGCTGATCTCAAAAAAAGCCCTGAAGAAGCCTGGGCCAGCGAGCTAGGCCTGCTGATGGCAGAAATTAACCTGGCCATTAAAAACCTGCACCATTGGATGGCCCCTCAAAGGGTGGGGACAGATTTGGTGAACCTGCCTTCTTCCAGCAAAATTTATAGAGATCCTTTGGGTGTAGTGCTCATTATTGCCCCCTGGAACTATCCCCTGCAACTGGCATTGATTCCCTTGGTAGGGGCCATTGCCGGTGGCAACTGTGCCATGGTAAAACCTTCTGAACTGGCACCCGCTACTGCCGCCATCACAGAAAAAATAATAGGTCAAGCTTTTACGCCGGATTACGTGCAATGTGTAAATGGCGATGGCGCCACGCTTATCCCCACCATGATGAACAGCTTCCGCTTTGATCATGTATTCTATACCGGTAGTATACCCGTAGGCAAGATCATCTACCAGCTGGCCGCAAAAGATTTGGTGCCGGTTACCCTGGAATTGGGTGGTAAGAGTCCGGCCATTGTAGAAGCAGATGCCGCCCTGGATGCTGCCGCAAGAAGAATTGTGCTGGGCAAATTCATTAACGTGGGACAAACCTGTATTGCGCCCGATTACCTGCTGGTGCATGCCTCCGTTAAAGACACGATGGTAGCAAAAATGAAAGCCTGCATTGCGCAGTTTTATGGTGCCGATGCAGCTGCCAGTTACGACTATGGTAAAATCATTAACGAAAAGCGGTTTGACAAACTGATCAGCTACCTGCCGCAGGGAAATATTATTGCTGGCGGAGAATATGATAAAAGCAAGTTGTTTATCGCCCCAACTTTACTGGAGAATGTATCGTTAGATGCCCCCTTAATGACCGAAGAAATTTTTGGTCCCCTGCTCCCCATCTTCAGCTTTACCACTACCGCAGCAGCCATGCAGATAGTGCAACGAAATGCCAACCCCCTGGCCTTCTATCTTTTTACCGGTTCCAAAACAAAAGAACAGGAATGGATAAACGCTGTTCCCTTTGGCGGTGGCTGCATTAATAATACCGACTGGCATTTTACCAATCACCACCTGCCCTTTGGCGGGGTAGGCAATAGCGGGCTGGGCGCCTACCACGGCAAATTTACTTTTGATACATTTACCCGGCAAAAAGGCGTGTTAAAAACGCCCAGCTGGTTTGATCCATCTATTAAATACCCAAGCTTTAAGGGGAGGTTGAGGTTGTTTAAGTGGTTGGTGAGGTGAACAAATAAAAACGTTTGGGGGATTGCTGCTGTGCCTTACCTTATTGTTTGTTCACCTCTTAACCCTGCCAAATAACTACAAGGGGCCGGCAACAGTAAAAACAATATTTCTCCTTTCTGTCTTCAAACCCATTTCGCAATATGTATTTATACGTATGCTGCCTGACGCCCCCCAATTTTAATCTCCCTTTGCTTCAACAATCTTTCGGTTGCCGCGTTTATGACACCTGTTCAGTCCCTTAACCCAATACAGCTATGACCATCCGGCAAGAATTTTTACGTTTTGTTTACCCGGCTTATGTGCGCCTGTCAAGGATATCACCCGTTAAATCTATGGTGCTGCTGAATGATCAGGCGGTTCCGCAGGTATCTTTTTATGCATTGCAGGCTGAACTGCGCGATGGCAGTATGCTGGACTTTGGCAGCCTCCGGGGTAAAAAAGTGCTGCTGGTAAACACCGCTTCCGGCTGCGGCTTCACCCAGCAGTTTGACCAGCTGCAGCAACTGTACAAAGAATATAATGGTGAACTGGTAATCATCTCCTTTCCTACCAACGATTTTGGCGAAGAAAAAAACAGTGATGAAGCCATCGCACTTTTCTGCCAGGAGAACTTCAGGGTGAGCTTTCCCATTGTAAAAAAATGCGTGGTAAAGCCCGTTGCTGAACAGCACCTGGTGTATACCTGGCTAACGGACCCCGACCAGAATGGCTGGAACAACCATTCCCCCCGCTGGAATTTCTGCAAATACCTGGTGGATGAACATGGTATGCTGACCGGCTACTTCGGCTCTGCCATAGAACCCAATGGCGATGAGATTGCATTGGCGCTTCAATCAAAAAAATAAAGACGCCCGCAAGCTGTTAATGAAAGTGGCTGGTGTCTCCACCAACCGCAATAGGGCAAAAATTGCAAGTTACCCACCGGCTCTAATTGTACGGTAAGAAAAGCTGTTTTACCCAGCATTCTTAAAACTTCCAGCAACATGATCGTTCTACATTTGCCTTTGGTACTTTTTTTATGGAAAAAAAGTACCGCAAAAAAGCCAGTCGAAATCGAAAACAGCCCGATTTCGACATGGTGCCCTGATTAAGCTTCTGTACTACTGTGACTTCAGCTGCAACAATGCACATTTTTTGAGACTGTATCAAATAGCTTTCACAGGAATAGCTTAGCTATCTTTGCCCGACTCATGAAAGGGTGAGCCGCCCGGAAGAAAGGGCGACCCACCCCATCACCCATAGGCAACGTTTTTTACCATGCTGCACAAACTAAAAAACTTCTTTATTGTAATTGGTATGCTCGTCCTGGTGTTTGCAGGCTGGGTAATGATTGTAAACAGAAACTCCGTAAACATGACAGGCAGGCAAAAAATACTAAAAGCACTCTACCCGGCTATGATGTGGATTACCCAACGCACCGGCAAAAACAACAAGGTTATGAACAATACTACCGCAGCGCCCGTTTCTTTTTATTCATTGAAAACTGTGATGAATGATGGCAGTCCGCTGGACCTGGCCACCCTGAAAGGCAAAAAAATATTACTGGTCAATACCGCCTCTGCCTGCGGCTATACGGCGCAGTACGATCAGCTTCAGCAACTCTATAACCAGTACAATGGCAAACTGGTGATCATTGCCTTCCCGGCCAATGATTTTAAAGAACAGGAACAGGGCACTGACAGCGAGATTGCCGCCTTCTGCAAAAAAAACTACGGCGTTACGTTTCCGTTGGCACAAAAAAGCACCGTGGTAAAAACAGCCGGGCAGAACCCGGTGTTTCAATGGCTGACAGACCCCTCCAAAAACGGCTGGAACAGCCAGGCACCGGAATGGAATTTCTCCAAATACCTGGTCAATGAAAATGGCGTGCTTACTAATTATTTCGGTCCATCGGTAGAGCCCACCAGCAAGGAGATAGTTGAAGCAATACAGTAATTACTGGGCGCTGACACCGGGTGTTGTTGGTGAAAACGCCAACGAGGGCAAAAGATCAATACGGAGCCCTTCCCCGCCGATGTCTCCGTCGCGCAATTATACATTTATATGAAAAATCTTTGTGCGGGACTCGGCGGCTCTCTTTGCACATGCATGATTTGTAAACTAATGACGGTCGTGCTGCGTGTTTTTGTTCACCTGACGTTCAGTTAGAACAGACATCGCCTGGAAAATCTTAGTGGGTAATGCCTCCACCCACCGGAGCCCTTCCCCGCTTGCTCCGTAACGAAATCACTAATTTATATGCTTGAGAAGGGTACGGGACCTGGCGGCCCGCGCAGGAAGACGCAGACCCGGCGGACTTTGCGCTTTTGACAACGGACATTAGCCCAAGTCTGTCTGGACATTGAGCTTTTGACGACGGACATAAGCCCATGTCTGTCGGACATTGCGCTTTTGACAACGGACATTGGCCCATGTCTGTTGGACTTTGCCCTTTTGACAACGGACATAAGCCCATGTCTGTCGGACATTGCGCTTTTGACAACGGACATAAGCCCATGTCTGTTGGACATTGCGCTTTTGACGACGGACATACACCCATGTCTGTCGGACTTTGACCTTTTGATGTCGAACAATTGGCCTTTTTTACCTCCTGGTGCTGTCTTCACCGACCGGAATTAATCGAATTGCTGGCAAATAAGCACTATCAGCGGATGCTATACTCCTCAAGCTGAGCCGCTACCGGTAACAGGCATTTTTTGCAGCTGCATAAAAGAGCGACCCATCTGAGAAACAGCCGCTCTGCGCCTTGCCGGCAAAAGGCCAATTCCTAATTCCTTCCCGGGTTTTCGGGACCAACTCCCCACCAGTAGAAATACCCAACGGCGCCCCGGCGGGGCTTCCTGTTTATAGCACTCAGCGGGGTTGAAGCGGCTCCATAGGAGCCCCCTGTATACAACAGGAAGCTCCTATGGAGCTGGTATGGTTCCTTTCCATTTTCTATAAACAGGATGCTCCCGCGGAGCCGGCAGCCTAAACACTTTTGTC